CTAAGACCATCGGAAATATGTGTTTTCCAATGGTCTTAGGCGACCCCTGTGAAAGTGTCATTCGACCCCCCAAAAGGGTCGCGACCCACAGGTTGAAAACCGCTGCTTTAGAGGGTTCATTATGAGAAAATGAGTACAAAGAACTAACTATCCTGGCTGTTAAAAAAAAATGCCCACCCCTCTGACTACAACTTAGAGGAAAATCCATAAATCAACTTACATTTACAGGGAATTCCCTCCTCTCTGTAGATTAAGTCTTTGCAAGTATGAGTCCAGAAAACCTAAAGACTATAAGATGGAGATGACTGAATGATTTGAGACCTAATACACCCTCAAGAAGGGAGGAAACTTGCTCTATTGTTTCCAACAGTGGCACAGCAATTTTTAGTACTCTGTCTTTAAAGCAGGGATGGATACTCTGGGATTCAAGAGGCACATACATATTGCCAAACCCTATTTTTGAAATCCAGAACCTGATACAAATCATGCCTCTGAAATATGACACACCAAAATAGCAAATTCTAGTGGCATGATTTTTTTTAAATAGTTACAGGTATATTCAAATTTGAGGAGTCTTACAACACTATTTCCAACATTTATCTCCATCACCAAAAATAACAGTGCAAACACTTAAAAGAGTTTCAATTGTTTTACCGGCATTGCCACATCACTGTCATATTTCTCTTGCAGATCTTAATGGGCAGAAATAAAATGGGACCTCAGCACAAAACCATTTTAAAGAATGCAGGCAGAATACCCCAAATTTCCTATTGATTATTTTAAAATAAAAGAAACAAAAAAACAAGCAATAGGGAAGACTGGTCCTGGACATCTAATCATAGTCCAGTATTTCTCAACAGTGACAAATTTTAATATGTATAGACTTCAACTTGAGCTGGCTGGGGAATTCTGGGAGTTGAAATTCACACAACTTAAAGTTGTCATGGTTGAGAAAAACAGAAGAATTTTCTTCTACTCATCAAAGTTATTCCACTGATAACCTATGGATCTGGTCTTATACTTGAGAAGGATTTGTGAGAAAGTGCATAATAAATATGGTACACCTATCTTACATGCACGTTTTAAAATGAAATAAGCAAAATAAGCTCTCTCATCTCCCCTTCTCCCTCCCTTCCCACCCCCCAATGGTTTCAGTTTTTGCATTAGAAAACAGTACTCTTCATTTAATTGAAGAAAACCATTTTCATAGGGCAGGCTAGTCGGTTTCAAAGTACATTTCAGTGTTTCAGGAGTGTTACAAAACCATCCCTCTACAGAAGAGCATGTGCCCATGTGGGGCAGAGTTCCATGGAGTCCCTGGGCCAAATGCTTTTGAGTTGCTCTTTTTGCAGGGAATATCAGATGACATTTATATGAAATTTAAAAAAAAACCTGGCAGAAGGTGTAATGCTTATTATTCCTTCTGTTCCTTCTTCTATTATTCCTGACTGAATATCTTCCCTGACTGAAGATTAGTGCCAATCTTGGTGATTAACACTGATATTTGGATTATTATTGTTATTGTTGCTGCTGTTTTTACAATATTATTGTATTGTATGACCACTTTTTATTCATATCTATATATTTATCTGTTTCTATCTATCTGCTTTACATATTTGACAAATACTGCATTTTGTGGCTTAAAGACCATAGTAAAAGGTTCAATGATTCACTTCAATGCTTCCAGCTATTAAATCTGCATTATTGCCAGACTTAATTCAAATTTGCAACACCTATGCCACTGAACAAGTGGTAGTAAGAAAGAGCTATAAGTTTGGCCAGCACACCATCACTGTGGTCATGTAATCACAATTCAGTGGCTTGGCAACCTACATGGATTTCTGATCACTGCCTTGTGCCACAGTCAAGTGATTGTGATTTGTGACCTTCCCTGCTAGCTTCTTACAAATAAAGTCCACTGAAGTCTTCCCAAATGTTTCTGGAAGTCAGAAACACATGAGGTCCTTGCTTAACGACCTATGCAATTTCCTGCTATTTTCCAGAACAGCTTGTTGTGCTAGAAGTGTAGGGAAGTGTTAAAACCACAAAGGTGCTTTGTATGGATTCAGCAATTTTGGTTAACATCATGTCTATTGAAGCTAAATTCCATTTCTTATAATAAAGTCTCTGAATAAATGTACACAAGTGAACAAGAAAGTGCAGGCACTTGACATTATTTACAACTTAATTCACAATGCCCAAGGGATTTTCCTGTTTAATGGCTGAAGAATGACCTCTACTTCATTAATCTTCCATTTAATTCTCATAGCAAAAGCATCTCAGGAAGGAAATGTTTGTACAGAATGACAACAGGAAAATGCAGAAAGTGCCTTTGGATTTTTAGCTATTGTGATCTGCTCCAGCCTCCTATGAAGGGGAGCAAGAACATTAGAAAGTCCTTTCTAAAACCAGACTTGTTTCCAAAATAAATACATTTGTGAATCAATGATAGTGAGTCTTGCATTGAGATTTAAGTACTGTCGACTGAGCAGGAGAGTTCCAGAAACCAATTTGAGAGACCCCCCCCCCAAAAAGAGGGTGATCTGACTGCACTAGCTGTTCCTTTGCTGAATAGTGACTGGTATTTGCCACCTGTAACTAAAGCATTATAGATTATATGTATCATATGCACTGTTGGGCATAGGCAGAAAGGTACACCAGGATTAGTAGATGCACCTGGTCAATATAAATCAGGGCAGTTAGTGACTAACACAGTGTTTCCCAACCTTGGTGATTTCTAGGTTCATGGACTTCAGGTTCATGGACTCCAGACCTTTCATTCATTAGCCATGTGAATGAAAGTGGAATTCTGGGCCTGGGAATGGCCAATGTTAGGATACAATAGACTAACACAATGGCCTGCATGGAGTTTTTGGCCACTGTCATGAGTCTTGATCTCTCATACACACTGTTTGAAAAGTTTGAATTTGTAATTTGATGTCAATCAAATCTGGAGGAGTAGAAATCCTAAAACTATGCCAAAATTGCCTATAGATATATTGAAAATCAACTGGGACATGAAGAATCCTATCTAGTTTTGTTACATAAATTCCAAACATTGAATCACAAGCTGTTATTCAATCACATCCCACTCCCCGGCCCAAAAGTTGTTTAATTTTGGCAGCAATAGATGCACAATCAGAAGGAAAAATAAATCTGATTTTGAAAACTTATCTTACCCAACCAACATAGGACCAAAATCAAGATAGCTAAGAAGTTGTTTGCTACCCATTTGCTTAAATAAAAGAAACAAATGTAGGGTGTTCATGATAGTCAGACCATGGAGGAAGCATGTAGAAAGCTGGATAAGGAGACACAAGTCCAGTTAAGTCTGGCAGCTGTGTATAGATGATAGTTTCTGAGCAAAATGGAGGCTCTTTTATGAGCGATAGCTTATTTGGGAGCAAGGCCTACTTGTAAGGAAGTCAAGGGAGGAAGGAAAAACCAATAGAAGAGAATATTTGTAGCTCAAGATTGAACTGTGAGGCCCTTGTTGCTCTCTGAGCTTGGATGTTTGCTAGCGGTGATGATGTTACCTTGTTTAGTAATGAAACATCTGCAAGAAAACAATGAAGCTCATAGTGAGGAAGGAAAAATGTTTGGCTTAAAAAAAGAAAGGAGAACCAAAGTTAATTAAGAAGGTTCTTATTGCTCAGAAAAGGTATAGCAGGAGCAACATCTCTCTCCCCCTAAGGATTCACCATTTATTCTTATTTCTATCATGTGACTTTTACCCCTCCATTATTTTTATCAATCATCTTTGTTATAAGGAAGATGATGCTTTCTACCTGTTAATTTACAGCGACCTTTCATTCACAAATGTTTTTCAACACATTCTTCAGTGCAGTATATATTATGCCTAAGTGAGAAAGTTAAATAGGAAAAGTAGAGGAGAAAAAGGTCTATCAAAAGTATCATCTCTCTTTCCTTTGGTATCCCTATGCAAATTGTATCACTCTGGAAAAAAAGAAATCCAGACATTATTTGATTTTTAAGGCAATGTTTTTTTAAATGGGGGTACAAAAAAAGGTGATTCTGAATGAAAAGCACCTGATTTCACAGAAACTCTAGCAAAATGTGACCGTTTAATGTGCAACATTTGAATAAAATTGCTTTTCATGAATTTCATCCCACAACATTCACAAACATCTGTAGCTTAAAATATAACGTGAAAGAGAAATAAAGAAAAACCTAGATTACATTATTTAAATGTTCTGTAAGTCACCCTGGGAAAACTGTTGATTTAAAGGGTGGCAAAAAATTCATTAGGAAATAAATTAATTAATCAAGTTTATAACTAAGTCAGTTTGTTTATATGTGTACTGTATTTTTCTTAAATTGTAATTAAACGTTCTGGAGTCCTGACAGAAATTAGGCACATAAAGCTTACATTTTCTAAATAATAATCCAGTTGTTGGTTATAGAGAAGAATCAAGAAAAATATTGCACACATCTGGATATGGTTGGGCAAATGCAGAAAGAATTTAACAACCAGGCAAGTGAAAGAGCCAAAGGTTAAGGCATCACTCTGGTTTCAAGTTCTATGGATGTTAGGAAGGGATGAACTTGGAAGAGGGGAGGCCTATGCCCACCAAGACAATACATCTTGAGCACTTATTGGGTGTGAGGGGGAGGTCAAAGTAGTCCTGCTAATGAAATGAATGGGAATTAAGTTCCTGTACTATTTTCTTGTTAAGGCCAAGGCCTGTTAAAAGATTCATGTGGAGAATTCTGAAACTCAAAAGTTATGGACAAGAGGATTTTCCCAGTCCAATCCAGCAAAACATTTAAGGACTGCCTTAAGGCAAGGATTATGGGAAGCATGTTTTTATTTCACTAATTTTGCCCAGACACACCCAGATGTCTGCTTCTACATTGAACATGGGGACTGTCCTTACAGTAGGCAAAGCTGGATGTTTCTCCTCACCAGAAATCTCTTAAAACTATAAATAACAAATACCAAGCCTCTATTCAGCACATGAAAGCTCAGAGGTACTCACCCTGCAAACTGGGCATTGCCAGTGACTACTGCTGTCTCTAAGCCTGAACTCATCAGATAAACACTTGGAATGATACACCCGAAAACACAGGTCACATATCAACACCTCTCCAGGCAAATGGCATTCAAAACAATACCAGTCATGAGTTTCTGTCTCCCAGTCCTACAAAAAATACAAAATAATTTGATAGAACAGTCTGTCAATATCTGAAACAGCCATGAATTTTTTAAAAAAGCACATTTCTTGAAGTCTAGCAATGGTTAGGCATTTTAAAATATGGCACCTCTTTCATGGATTATACCTTTTGTTTTGTTTTGAAATTCCGCTTATAAGCTTGGTAATTGGTATCTGAAAGTGCTTTGCTTTTAGTTTCTAATCAATGCCGAGGCTTAAATCATGGAATGAGTGTGTCTGATTAACAGCTTGAACACTCTTGTGTCATGTTCCCAAAAATGGTTTCTTTTCAAGATAAATTTTGAATTTCAATGAAGCCCCAATTATCTTTACATTATTAAATGAAGGCAATGGAACTCCTTCCTCTGCTTTAGGCAAATAAATTGTGATACAGGTAGTCCTCTACTTACGACCACAATTGAGCCCAAAATTTCTGTTGTTAAATGAAACATTTGTTAAGTAAGTTTTGTCCATTTTACAACCTTTCTTGCCACAGTTGTTAAGTGAATCGCTGCAGTTGTTTAGTTAATAACACAGTTGCTAAGTGAACTTGGCTTCCCCATTGATTTTGCTTGTCAGAAGATGGCAAAAGGTGATCACATGACCCCAGAACACTGCAACCGTCATAAATGTGAGTCAGTTGCCAGTGGCCAAGAATTTTGATCACATGACCACGGGAATACTGCAATGGTTGTAAGTGTGAAAAACAGTCATAAATCACTTTTTTCAATGCCTTTGTAATTTCGAACGGTCACTAAATGAACTGCTGTAAGTCAAGGACTACCTGTATTCAACCATTTGCTATTCTAGCGGTCCTCTCCCAAGTCTAACTTTTTTTTTTCTCCTGAAAAGGCAAAATCACCCTCCAGACGTGGAATTCTAAGGAACACAGGGAACTTCATCAGGTGGTCATCAGATGCAATTTTGGAAACTGGTACCCCTTTTTCTAGAGGATTCTTTTGTTTTTTGAGTGGGAAGCACACAGGAGTTGTCACTGCTATTCCACACACCAATTTGTCACGGCAGCTGTGATGCTTCTCCTGAATGCATTGGTTTATAAGTTCATTCTACAGTGGACATTCTCTGACTAGACAGAAGAAAGCTTTAAAAAGGTGGCAAGAGCTGCTGAGGTCACAGTAATATGACAAAGTCCAAAGCAGTGCACATTTTATTATTTGTCCCTTTTCCTCTCTCTGAACCCCCATGATTCCTCCACTCTATTTATTTCTATAAGCACATGCAAAGTGCTGTATCATCTGCAAAGGTATGCTGAACACATATAAAAGAAAAGTCCGTCTTCTGTTCCTCAGAATTCACACAAGACTCCATTCTACATAAGGGTCACATAAGCAGGAAAATGTCCAGCATCACTTGTGATGTCAATTGTACTTAATGGCCAGTTTTAGCTGGAGGCTAGGAATCTAAAGGCTGCCCTTTCTCCCTTCTACTTCCAGATCACCCAAAAGTACTTTGTCATTTGGTTTTGCTCTGATTGGATTGTATGTATGTTCTTATTTCTTCATTAAAATTTGCTGACCTGCATGAGAATTTAGAACAGAACAGAGAAATATATCAAAATTGACCCATTACACAGCTTTTTCCAACCTCCAGAGCTCTGCAACTGTATTGATCTTACAGTCTGCAGAACTCCCAACCTTTCAGAGTGACGATGGTTGAATATTCTGCAAATTATAGTTATAATACAGACATGAGGTTATGGGAAACTGCACCAGGCCAAAGCAAAGGTTTTTGCAAGAACAGAACACTGCTGCAAATTAAATGATACAAGTTGAACGCTGACAAGTTAAAAGTTTGCAAACTTGCAGGAAGATACAAACAGAGCAGAACAAAACACAAATCAGCTTTAAAATAAGGCAAGTTCAAGCATGATTTTGATTTCAAAACATACCTTTTGCAATTTGATTTCAATGAATCCAAATATTGAATTTTGACCTAATTTCAGTTTTGCTCATGGTTGTGGTCCTTCAAATGTTTCAACTGTGTAAATGAAGCCTAAAATACGATTTCTCATAACAATGCAGGGGGAAAAAATAAAAACTGCCTCTTTCCATCTCGCTGATTTCCTAATTTTCCTCATAATGGGCATAATCCAGCTAAATGAGCACATTTATTAGTATCGATGTTTCTAAAGAGTAGAATTAATTCTAATACTCTTCAATGGTTAATGCTCACATATATTTAGCTTTTACTGTCCACATATAAATAATGTGCATTACTTAAAGTTGAAACCATGCTGAATGAAATCTCACCTAAAAACCAACTCTACTTACTGGACAGTATCTAAGAATTATATATTACAAAGAAGAATGAAATAAAAGTTTTAGGGTCATGTTTCACAACTTAGACTAAGTCCACACATTTAAGATGTGTGGACTTCAACTCCCACAATTTCCCAGCCAGTGTGCTTAAGAAACACTGTACTAGAGGCACTTTTCTACTGTAGGCCAAGCAGCCTAATGTAACTACAAAATCAATAAAAATGGTTCTTTGGGAAGATAAAATTATTAACAATCAACATATCAGCAGTTTTATGGAACACTTGAGGCATTCTCATGCTTTGCACTGCCTTGTATGGCAAAAAAAAAGTTCTGAACTAATTTTGATTCTTTAAGCTTAAAAATAACTATAGAAATCATAAGATACATGTAAAGAATGTCAAAACCTGCTCTGTGAAAAATAGCACCTCGGAATCAATGTTTATTCACAGGTATTTATATGCATTTGTAATCATGTGTGGGTTATTGGTGCATTTTCTTTAGATGAATTGGGAGATCTTCCATTAGGCAAAATAGCTCCATCCCCTATTTATAATCAATCTGAGTCCAATCTATCTAAAGTGATCAAAAACTTCTTCAAGCTTTTTCCAGTTCCGTTGTAACTGAGACCTACAGGTGGGAGTCTCCACAGACACAATGCATATTGTAATTTTCATTGGCATTGTACTGCGAAAATGTCCTTAAATGCAGAGGACATCATCCATCACACACCCAAACAATTTTGAGGTGTATCAGGGGACATATTTAAATGATTATGAATGCCAGAGTCTCACATTTTTGGGATAAGTAAATTACCATGTATGTTAAAATAAAACCCTTCCTAAAAAAATTTATACTGAAATATGTTGTTTTTTAAAATCACTAGACCCATTTGGAGGTGTCAATTCATGATATTTGATATTCAATTTTTTTGTTCATCCTTTGAAAGAATGTAGTTTCCATTCCTATAGAGATATGTTGTATATGAATGCTCACTACTTCCACATCTATATGTAATTTGATATACTGTATAGACATACAAAAATATTAAGTTTGATAATGAGTTTGATGATGTAATAGTTACATAGAACTCATAATATGTAAGCTGGTCTTTTATATTTCATCTTCCTTTTCTTGCTGACTTCTGTTCATCAATTAATCCATAACAAGATACATTCAATTTATAGAACTTAAACTTTTTAGTCAAAGTTCATTTCAGAAAAAAGACAACACGAGTGTTTTAAATTATTGGTTGCATTATTTATCAAAGACTACTAGAATATTAATTTTAATTAACTCTCTCATTTTGTGCTCCTTTCTTCTTCTTTATGAAAATTTATTATCCAGAGGAAAAAACCACATTCACGGAAAAGACGCAATTATGAAATAAAAGATTTTGGCATAATTCCATGACAAATCTTTTATATTAAACCAACTGAAATGAAAGGGAACTAGCAGATACTTTGCCGCTCCAGTTAATTTCAATGGGATTTCCATATGATGATTAGTTAATTAAATAAAAAAGCAAAAAGTTGAAATTGTCCACTGTGAAATCATTAATATGGTATAACTATTAGCTGATATTTATGTCTTCTTGCTGCGCTGCATCTTAGCATCTGTAATTCCAAGCACATTTATTACTTTTCTCTTTAAGTTTAATGATTTATTTATTGTGAGAGGTTTTTTGTATGTATTTAGATGTTTGGTCATATTTTTTTCTGTAATTGATATATAGGATTTATTAAAAAAATAATAACTCTAAATTTTCATAAACTGGATCTGATTATTTCTGATAGGTAGATGCAAACTCTGCTGCACATCTGCCTGATGCACTAAAGCTGACCATGTCCATTAGGCTGAATGGATATTAACTGATTGTGAAGTCAGCTCTAAAGTCACATCTCAAGTATAAAACAGTGAAGGTTATGCTATGAAATTACAATACAAACTAGGTCATCTTGCTTCACTGTAGTTAGTAACATATGCTATTACCATATGAATTGGGCAAAGTTATGTTTCTAGTGTAACCTCTTCTTTGATCAAAGTAAGTAATTAAGATATTGTTTAAAAAAAAATATAACTGAGAAAACAGAACTTTGGAAATAAAATCACAGAGGAAAATAAATTTTAGTGTTCATGGAAAGGTTTTTCCCCTACCCAATTCATACAAATTCTGTTTTCAGTTTTGGAAAAAAAAATAAAACCATAAATCTTTGTTTTTAAAGGCTGGTGTAAAGTTTGGATAAATACTGGAACCTTTGCAGAACCGGAGATGTACAAAGTTATCTGCCACGTAATTTCCTCAGATGAGACAGGACATTTATATAACTAACATCTGGCAGCCACTATTCTAATTATGATAAACATAAAAATTGTCAGAGTACAAATATATCTTTTTCTGTATTTGCAAAGTCTTCCACGAGATGTCATCATATCCTCCCAAAGTAACTGACCAAAAAAAAAAAAAAAAAAAAAGGAAAAGCATTGCAACTTTATATCTTGCAGCAAAACATGTGAGTGACCACTTCCAGCTCTCCAGGAAGGAGGGGGGAAAATAGTATTTTAACCAAGGTGCTGCAAAAAGCAGGCTGATTTCAAGTACCAGTTACAACACGGCTGATAAGCATTATTAATTCCACTATTTGAAGACTAGAAAAGCAACATCTAATCTATCTTAATGTACAACACCAGCAAAAAAGAGAAATGTGACAGAACACATTTAAGACTACATAGTGCAAAAGTTGTTCACCTTCATTTTTACAGTTGTCCAAGAAAAAGGCTGCATGCTGTAAGCCTTTCAAAATAAAGAAAACAAAATAAACCAAAAAAAAAAAAATATGGTCTACGTATTGGAACCTATGTGAGGAACATAAACTGAAGGGAAAACATCTATTACTGAGAGTATCCTAACTAATCAAATTTCCCCCAGATAAACTCTTATGGACTTTTATCCCCCTCAAAATGTTTTCTAAAAGCACTTAACTTAATTAGGAAAACATACACAAAGGGGAAAAAAGCAGAAGGATTAGCATTCCCAGTTAATAGCCCCTGTGAAGACAGACATGCTTATATATCATAATGTCCCACAAAAAATCCAAGAAGTGCTTTGCTTTTGATCAGGGACCTAATTGTTTCCACAGTTTGTATATAAAACCTTTTCTCATGAGTCCCCTCTCTTAAAATATAACTACCATTATTTATGGAACTACTTTTAAGCAATTCCAAAATATATACTGTAATGAAAATTAGAAAATCAATTTTATGTGCAAGAGTGAAGATTTTACAGAATTGTTTACTAGAAGACACAGAGAAACAAAAATTATACTGCCATTATAAAAAATAATCCAGCTCTAAAGGAAATAGAAGTCATTTTATTTTCACAATAAATTAATTCTTTATTAAAAAGAAGACTGACAATTACAAAGTTCTGATATTCTGGTATCTGTAGTATTCTGGTATCATAAAAAATAATCGAAATATAACAAACTTACCGACCTTCAAATGAACCTATCTTTCTAACCATGCTATCTTGTCAGGAAGGTATTTTCAACCTTGCTTGAAATTTGCAATTATGACAGGGAACATCATCAAATTTAAGAAGGCCAAGTGATTTTCCATCACGGATCGGGAATGTTGGTCATAAAGCCAAACCTATTTGAATTTAGGGCTTCTTCAAATTCTGCAAGACTACTCTTACATTTTATTTCTATTTTTAAATTCCATTAGCTTGGGTGTGTTTTCATACATGCCAGCAACTGGATTGCATTTAATATATTTATGATTACAGAGTAAATAAATCATTAATCTTTTCTTAAACTTAGTTCATGGGCATTGGAAAGCTATCTAATATTAATTAAAATATATCCTGTGATTATAAGAAGAGTTGATAATGCTTAAAGGTCAGCAACAAAGCGATTTGGACAAATAAAAATTCCGAAACAAATAATGACGGAAATGATGATCAAAAATTTGATGTTATTTTTGGTAAAGGGACGAGAGCAGGCAAATGTTTAGAAGAGGTTCCAGTCATACAAAAGTAAGCTTTGCTAAACTAAAAAACTTGCAAATCAATCCATTACAGAAGTTATGCACAATATGTTGCATCTATGTAACATTTTTCATTTCTAAACAATTTAATTATATGAACCCAAGTGATGCAAGATATATATTATTAGGACTGTACCTTTAATAAATAGAAACCTTAGCATATAATATTTAAATGTAAATGAGAAGAGAAACTTTCTCATATTCTCATGGAATTTTTTTTGAAAAAGATATTCAAGCCCACATTAATTAAGAATAGAATTGTGTATATTTTACAATTTATGCAATGCAAAAATTAAACTGGCTGCAGAAACTGGAAATTAGAATCTTAGTTCATTAAATCATTTTTTCATGCATAATGAAACTGTTGAAAACAAAAGACAACTCAGTTAAGATTTACATTAGTAAAGGGACAACTACATTTCTAAGCCATATACTGGCCTTTGGGGGGACTATAGTACATTATAGTACATTAAGTATACAATCTGAGCTAACATATGAATATTCACTTGATTTATATGTCAGTTTTTCTACGTGAAGAATTCTGACTAACTGCATGTGGTAGAAAATATACACAACTCTGATTACATGCAGTATACCTGCTATTATATATATCTAGTATTTCAGTTTGTTACTCTTAAATCTACAGTCTGTAGTTCTACTCAACAGCTTTATCTTTCAAAATACTATACCTAAGGATATTTAAATTAGGTGAAGAACATCTCTACTAAAATTTTCTACCTTATGTATTAAAAATAGCACTTATAAAGTGCCACTTGTCCCCTTAATGTAACTTGTAAGATCCAAAAATCTCCTTAAAAACTGAATAGAAACAATATTTAATTTTTTTCCCCTGTATATGCTTGAGTTATCCAGCTCTTAAGGCAACTGATTTACAAAGAAATTTACATCCTAAATTTAGGATTTCATGCTTACATGACCAAATTTAATTAAAAAGAAAGTTAAAATAGCTAACTTTTTGAATCAGACATTCTATCAATAAAATAAGATTTCATAACAATTACCAATGTACTGCTATACCAAATGAAACTATAGCAATATTGGGGGGAAATTTAAAAAAAAAATTTGTAAAGTCACAGTTGATGTCTTTCTCCTATATATTACCCAAACTGATTCACAGTTAATAATGCATTTCTAAGTTATTTAGAATAACTAACAATTAAAACATTATATCTATAATCAATGTCATAAGCTTGAGGATTTGCTGTGGAAGAGGCAGGCCCCAGCTAGTGTTTGTGGCTTTTCTAAATCAACTGAAGGACAGCTTAAAGACCTGTTAATTTAACAGTATATCTTAGCCCATGCTAATTTTTCAGATTTATATGAAAATAAAATTAGTCATCCTGATCTAGCCCTACAAACAAAGCTTCCTAAACTTGGGCTATTTAGAAGTTTCCTTGATACCATTCCTGGAGCATTTTGCAAAGAAAAATAACTTTCCAAGGTTTTCAAAATTAAGTGCTTTCAAGTTATCATACTGAAACACGGTTGTTGTGGATTAAAGTAACAATATTTGGTTTATATTATGGTGAAAGTGTTCCTTTTCCACTTATTTCTGAAACAAGTAACAGGATGCATATGACAAAATCTGGGTGATCAACTTTCTCAACTGGAATGCCAAATAATTTTTTTCATAAACTGTTTTGGACTGCATCTCTTTGATGAACACCTTAATTGCTATGCCTTGAAATTAATCTATGTCTAAAATGTATGTTTATAAATATCTATATTTATTAGGCTGCATTTTTAAAAATACACTTAATTCACCTTTGAAGCTTTATGCAGACAATAATTACCTTCAATTTTAAGCATTCTGTGCTCTAAAACAAAATGCTACAACTACATGAGATAATTACGAAACCAATTTTTTTCCTCATAAAGCTTTTCTAAGACTACACATAAGCTGTTACTAAGAATTTCAAGTCAACACTCCAGCAAATGGTGATGGAAAGACTTGCAGAAAATATACTTACAATCTCATCCCCGGGCAGCCAGTATCCTTCTTGCTCAATACCAGCTTTTGAACCTTTGCATCCCACAGTCAAGGTTTCGACAACAAGGCCATCCTTCACTGCTAAACTAAGCTGACGTGTGGTCTCCTTGGGATGCATACCGTGAACCCGGGACATATATCTACAAAGAAAACAGAAACAAATGCTTACAAAATTATCATTAGTATCTGGATATTTTTTTGTGTTCTGAGTTCAACAATTTCAAAATTGCATAATATGGTCTGGTTCTTTTCACTTTTCTTTATTTTAATATCTCTTAATTAATGTTTTGCATTGAATATACACAAGATCAGCTACAAAAGGTTATTTAAAACTCAACTGAATAAAAAAGAGAGAATAAATAGAATTAAAATCTATTAAAATCTTAAAAATCCAGGTCGAAAGCTACTTGAGCCAGACTACAATTTAATTAGCTAAGCAAAGAAACAACTCATTTTGGCAACACTTTTCAATGCAAAATAATGTGTAGGTCAGTGGTGGCGAACTATGGCACGCATGCCAGAGGTGGCACTCAGAGCCCTCTCTGTGGGCACGCATGCTGTTGCTCCAGCAAAGTTCGCCAGAGTACCAAGCACATGGTGTTTGAAAGTGACAGGGCAGGAAGTGAGCAAGCAAGCGGTGTTGGCCCCTCGGGGATGCCCCAGAGATGGCGAGGGACTGGCCCTGGCCATGCTCACCCAGTCTGCCGTGACCACTGCAGCCACGCCCACCCTGAGGGCACCACAATGTTGATGCAGCCCTGGCACTTTGTGATAAATAAATGGATTGGATTGCAGTTTGGGCACTCGGTCTCTAAAAGGTTCGCCATCACTGGTGTAGGTCATGATGCAGATGGGATTTTTTTTTCCCCAAAGAAAATTCAGACTTTGCTTCATGGTAAGCTGGTGAAGGAAGGGAAGAATTGAGAAACAGCATAGTATTCTTCTTCTCATTTGGTCCCTGCTTATTAGTAATAATTCACAGCTGGAGATGTCATTCCACCCATTTTGAGAACCACAGATCTAAGCACAGAGGGCAAGGACTGCCAAAGACAACTAGCATAATAAATTCCATCGGAGAACAACTGATTGAGAACGCATTCCTCTAAATCAGTTGGGATTGAAGAAAGTGGGAGCCATCAAAAATCTTTACTGTAATTTATTAGCTAAATAGCTAAAAGACAAATGGGAAATCACCAAAAGGCTACAATAATTCATAACTGAATTTATACTAACCATGTGCTCGGTATTATCTGCTAAAGGGTTTAAAGACAAAATATTTATGCATTTAATTTTTCAGATTTTTAGGTACTCAATTCCAAAATGATTCTGGGATCTCCATGGAGTCCAAAGAAACAATAACACTATCTTATCATATCTTATCTCTTATCATCTTACAGTCAGGTCCAGAAATATTGGGACATCAACACAATTCAAACATCTTTGGCTCTATATACCACCACAATGAAGTTGGAATGAAACAAACACAATGTGCTTTAACTGCAGACTGTCAGCTTTAATTTGAGGGTATGTACATCCAACTCAGGTGAATGGGGTAGGACTTATAGCAATTTGCATATGTGCCTCCCACTTGTTAAGGGACCAAAGGTAATGGGACAATTGGCTTCTCAGCTGTTCCATGGCCAGGTGTGTGATATTCCCTCATTACCCCAATTACAGTATGCAGATAAAAGGCCCAGAGTTCATTTCAAGTGTGCTATTTGCATTTGGAATCTGTTGCTGTCAACTCTCAAAATGAGATCCAAAGAGCTGTCACTATCAGTGAAGCAAGCCATCATTAGGCTGAAGAAACAAAACAAACCCATCAGAGAGATAGCAAGAACATTAGGCGTGGCCAAAACAACTGTTTGGAACATTCTCAAAAAGAAGGAACACACCAGTGAGCTCAGCAACACCAAAAGACCCGGGAGACCACAGAAAACAACTGTGGTAGATGACCGAAGAATTCTTTCCCTGGTGAAAAAAACATCCTTCACAACAGTTGGCCAGATCAAGAACACTCTCCAGGAGGTAGGTGTATGTGTGTCAAAGTCAACGATCAAGAGAAGACTTCACCAGAGTGAATACAGAGGGTTCACCACAAGATGTAAACCATTGGTGAGCTTCAAAAACATGAAGGCCAGATTAGAGTTTTCCAAACAACATCTAACAAAGCCTTCACAGTTCTGGAACAAGATCCTATGGACAGATGAGACCAAGATCAACTTGTACCAGAGTGATGGGAAGAGAAGAGTATGGAGAAGGAAAGGAACTGTTCATGATCCTAAGCATACCACCTCATTAGTGAAGTATGGTGGTGGTAGTGTCATGGCGTGGGCATGTATGGCTGCCAATGGAATTGGTTCTCTTGTATTTATTGATGATGTGACCGCTGACAAAAGCAGCAGGATGAATTCTGAAGTGTTTCGGGCAATATTATCTGCTCACATTCAGCCAAATACTGCAGAACTCATTGGACAGCGCTTCACAGTGCAGATGGACAATGACCCAAAGCATACTGCAAAAGCAACCAAAGAGTTTGTGAAGGGACAGAAGTGGAATGTTATGCAATGGCCAAGTCAATCACCTGACCTGAATCCCATTGAACATGCATTTCATTTGCTGAAGACAAAACTGAAGGGAAAATGCCCCAAGAACAAGCAGGAACTGAAGACAGTTGCAATAGAGGCCTGGCAGAGCATCACCAGGGATGAAACCCAGCATCTGGTGATGTCTACACGTTCCAGACTTCAGGCTGTGATTGACTGCAAAGGATTTGCAACCAAGTATTAAGAAGGGAAAGTTTGATTTATGATTATTATTCTGTCCCATTACCTTTAGTCCCTTAACAAGTGGGAGGCACATATGCAAACTGCTGTAAGTCCTACACTGTTCACCTGAGTTGGATGTACATACCTTCAAATTAAAGCTGACAGTCTGCAGTTAAAGCACATTGTATTTGTTTCATTCCAACTCCATTGTGGTGGTGTATAGAGCCAAAGATGTTCGAATTGTGTCGATGTCCCAATATTTCTGGACCTGACTGTACCTTGTCCTGTCCTGTCCTATCCTATCCATTTTATGCTATCATGTCCTTTCCTATCCTATCCAGTCTTATCCTATCTTAATTTTATCCTACGCTAAACTACGCTACCCTACCCTATCCTATCCTAAACTAAACCAAACTAACCTTAATTTATTATTTTATTTTATTTTATTAAAAAGACCCAGTTTGGTGTAGTAGTTAAGATTCTGGTCTAAAAACCAGAAGATTGTAAATTTTAGTTTCATTTTTGGCACAAAAATCAGCTGGTGGATTTGGGACAGTTGCTCACTTTCAGCCCAACTCACTTAACAATGTTGTTATTATCGGAAAATAGGAGGAGGAAGACGTATTTATATTTGCTTCCTTGATTTACTTATAAAATAATAAAAAGCAAGATAAAAATCTAATTAAATAAATAAAAGTTTTGCATCTTAAGCTACTCGGAGCAGCTTGCAACATCCATAAATCAGTAAATAAAACAATTATAAACAAAAACCAAACACAATCGTCACCTTGAGATGCCACACAGCAAGTTCAGTTACTCTCCTTCCATGCCTTCTACTCATACAATTCCAGCACCCCAGTAGAAAGCTTAATGGCCTTGTAAAGCTTTCTAAGGTTGGGCCATTGAATTGCCAATGAGACTTGAAGGTGTGGCCACAAAAAAGCAATGCTTCCAAGATCCCTCTAGATGGGAAGATTTTAGGTATGGAACCTGCAGCATGCCATCTTACCTGATATAATGAGATAAGCCAATCTTCTTAGGGAAAGGCAATGCTGCAAATACCCAGATCTTATGCCAGGAAGAACGTTAAAGTAATAAACAACAACTTGAATTGCAATCAGAAGAAAAACTGAAAGCCAGAGCAGCTCATGCAATAATAGGTGTAACATAAGCAAACCAATGTATACCCAATACTATGTGCACTGCTGCATTCTGGACAATTGAAACTTCCAAGTGGTCTTTGAAGACAGCTCTATCTAAAAAGTATATTGCAATAATTCAACCAGGTGATGACTAAAGGGTGAGTGACAAGCCTCCAGTCCAGGAAAGGGAGCAATTGGTGCATAAGACAGTCTACAACTTCCTCATCAAGCAGGAACTGTAAATGCATACCAGCATAGTCTGGGGCAGTGCAACTATTACAACCTCTCACAGCCCTTATAAACAGCCACACTCAAAATACTTTCAACCAGACACTGAGGCACAACTTGTTCTTTAGAATGTACTGAGACTCAGTGAATTTATAAAATAACAGCAAATCTTTACTGGTTACAATATATAGTATATATCTGCTCTTTCTCACACACAAGCAGGCACACACATTCTTCCCACATCCTTCTCAACTAGGCTGGCAGGCACTGACCCAAGGGAAGGAAGCTACCAATATACATCCGGACAACTCAAAGAATGGGTGGGCTTCAGGACCTCAAATCCTTGCTTGCTGTGCTTTGATTGACAAAACTAGTGGCTATTAGTGGTTAATTTACAAGTCTGGTAGCTGTTGATTGAGTATGAGGAGAGATTTTCCATGTGTTCAAGCTCAACTTCTTTTGTCTGGTTTAAATGACATTTTTCCTGTTTCTTTAACAACTAGATTTCTTTTTAACTATCTCCCAAAGGGATCTTTTTGAAAAGATTCCTGGTTTTTGTCTATCCTGTTAAAATGCCTGCTTCATCGTTAAGTATGGCAACTTCAACCTAGACTCATATAACTCCTGTCCAGAGTCAAGGATGAAAAATCAGCAGACTCTGGGGACCAAGGCCCAGAACTGCGCCATCTTGCTATGATAATGTCATAGCCTTGCTGTTGGATGACCTCACCCAGCAGTTTCATTTAGATATTAAAGAGGAGGGGTAAAAAGAATCAACCTCTGAGATATGAAAACCCAGCACTTGTCTGAGGAAACAACATGTCATTTTTCTACATCAACTTTTCTCCAACTAAAAAGCGCCCATTTGATACCTCCTATCCCAAGGTCTGTGAAATAAAATTAGTTTCTAAAATTTGCTCCAAAGCAGACAAGAGCTGTTCCAAAGATCAATACAAAAGCAGAAATTGTCTACTTCCTAGGAGCCACTATATGATGATGCTT